AAGAAGGTACATGCACACAGCCTCCACTGTGTTTTATACATATCAGTTTGAAATAAAATGTTCGAAGTGCTCTAACGATTTAAGAGCCTATATTCTGTTTGCAAAACTAATGTAAGCATTTACTGACAAAAAAGTAATGAAAATTCACAGGGATGTAGGAGGTTTTGAAAGCACTGTACTTTAGTAGTGGTTCGTACCTTGACCGTTAGGAAACCGAGAACGAAGTGGCCTGATCCAAAGAACAAATATGCACACAGATAAATAAACATAATGGTTGAAATCCTTTTTTCAAAGGGAAACCTCTGAAACATACTTATAAACTGTCATACCTTCAAGGGCACGTTATATAATATTTTATTATAATGAAAAATTACTGTAAACATCGCCCTCATTTTACATCAATTACAGAAAGGTGTTCTCATACTTCTCGTATTGAATTTGTTAATTCTCATAAATTCAATGTATGGAATATCTTCACATTATAACATACCAGATCTCGCATTCAGCTGCAAGAATATAAGCAAAGAGGTTACTTCCCCAATTCCAACTGCGGAAATTAGCCCTTATATGATGCAAAACATATTGTTTCATTCCAGAGTCCAGTCCTGAAACAGAACTGGGTTTTCCTACCTATAAAAGTATTCAAAAAAGTTACCACATAAACCTCTGTATTTCATCACTATTTTCCCACCGGAATGTTCTGTTTAGAAAAAGATAAAAACTTACAGCATTTACTACAATATAAAAAGCCAGCTCCAAAAGTTGTCTATACATAGATGGGAATGGAATATTGAGTCTATATATTAAGAATGGCAAAATAAAGTAACGAAATTCTAGTAATTTTTGAGGAACTGTGACTGCTAATAAACACACAAAATACATTAAGATCCAGAATATCGATTTTGATTTTAGTGTATCAGTAAAAGTCCAGCCAGCAAATATATAGAATGGAACTAATGCATATTTTACAAGCTCGTGTCTTTGGAACACTTTTCTCCAGACATAAAATGTGTAATGTCTGTTATCTGCTAGTAAATACTTATGAACATAGGTAAATTTCCAGACCAGGAATAAAGAGATGATGGTGATTAGGCTGTACTGCACAGGGTGCTTTCGCAATGACAGAAGGAACTTCCTGATTTTAGTAGGGGTCAATAAATGAGGGAATGAAAAAAAAACAGTAAAGGACAGAAAATAGAACAGCTGAGGAAAGTGCAAACAGGCTTCATGGCTACTTCTGTCACCAACAACTATTCCACCATTGATGAAGACAAAACCAAAGAATACAGTTACTAATGTGATGTATGGCCAAGTTAAAGCAGTAAGTGTAACTAAGTTTTTTGGTGATATGAGATATTTAACAAGAAACTGCAATATCCTGGTCAAATCTGAAAATGATCCTTTCTTGGAGGAAATCTTTTCATCTTTCTTCTTCTGTAATTCAGTCTTCCAGGCTTCATTTAGCTTTTCTGCCACAACATTTCCAGCACAGAAAACTGTCCACACAATATTCGTCTGACGAAACATGAAGCCACAAAATCCCAGGAGAGCTGATGTTTTATGGTTACCATAAAGGCACATTAAATAGGCAAAGAGAGTAAAAAATACTGAACCTGGATCCGTATAATAAAGGAATGTAAAAAAGTAAAGGGTGGGAAACATTGCAAGAATTAATGTAGACAAGATTCTCTGGAAGCCAGACACAGCCTAGAGAAGAAGAAGAAAAATGTGGTTAGGCAATGTCAAACAAAACAAAATAACAAATTAAAATTTGTATCATTCCTGAGAATTCCATTAACACAATACAATATCTCCTATGCTCTTTGGTTCCATTACTGCACAAATACTCTATTTGTGTTAATCTCCTGCGACGTTAATATAGTATTGGACTACACAATGTTAAAATCCAAGTGGAAGTACAGAGCATTACTGCAGGTTAGTTAAAAACATGGTCACAAAAATACACCAACTTCTTCCATATGTCAAGTGTGCACATATTTGTGGCATTAAAATCATGGTAGGAGCATAAATGGTCCCATACTGAGGCTAAAAGAGCTACACTAATGGGCAAAAGGAAATAAAATCAATGTTTTATGCCCCTGCAATCTCGTAATTAGATTCTGCTTATCTGTGAGACAGCACCATTCTATGCCTCTACTATCACCTCTTTTGAACCCAGTCCATGAGTGGGCAGCTCCAAGTTTCTAATCTTCAGTGAAGCTTTTATTGTTTATCCTCATTATAATTCATGAGTTAGAAAAGAAACTTTAAAAAAGGTAGGAGATCATGCAGTTAAAACTTCCTCCTAATTACCCCTCTTACTACATGATGCAACATAAATCACAACATTAAAAAATTGTTGCATGATGTTTCTGAATGATCTAGCATGGGGTGAAACAGCCACTTACCACCTTACAGTAAAGAGGAATAGACAAAATGTTGAGCTCAAAGAAGTGCCAAAAATACCACTACGTTTCCCAATGCTTATTGTCATAAAATCTTTTTTCACATTTATATTTCCACTTCCAAGTATACAATTAAGTGCTCTGAAAATCGAAACAATTTATTGGATCTGATCCAGTTCTGTATAGTCTTATCATGTGCTTAAACATGAAGAGGCTCCTGTAAGAAAATACATCAAAAGAAATTTTCTTTTTGGAAAAAGATGTTTTTAAGGTTAAAACTCAAACACTAAATAACTTTACTAACATTAAAGATTTTTGAATAGACCGTTAACCACTAAAACAATTTATCTACTGTAGTGGTGCATTCTCCAGAACTTTAAATATACAGTAGTTTTTTATCCACCTTGAACTGTTATGGTGCGGATGTGTGGACAGCTAGACAGGTAAAAACTGTCCCACTGCGCCTAAACAACAGTAACAATTGGACTATCACAGGACCTATACTGAGACCTGTCCTGTTTAACGTCTATGACTAGAAGGCAGCAAGTGTACACTGTCATCAAGTCTGTAAGTTGACACTATTGGGTTCCACTTGGGTGGGACCGAGTAATTTGCTAAAGAGCAGAGGTGCCACGCAGGTTGACCCAGACAGGTTGGAGGAATGGGGCAACAAAAATACCATGAAATTCAACAAGGACAAATCCAAAAGCCTGCAGCTGAAAAGGAAGAAATCCCCATAATGAGGAGCTGCTGCTCTGTGGAAAGGGACCTGAGGGTCTTCACAGATAGCGAGGTGAACATGAGCTGGCAGCATGTCATCGCACTAAGGAACAGCAACAGTCTCCTGGACTTCATTAACAAGAGTAGATCAAGAGAAGTTATCCCTCTTTACTCCACTTGTTAGGCTGTACCTAGAATACCATGTCCAATTTTGTGCCCTGATAAAAAAAGCCCTAGTAAACTGTAATGGCAGAGAGCCATCAAGACAGCCTGGGGCTGAAGAACCTGCCCTGAAAGGAGAGGTTGAGGGAGCTGGCCTTGTTCAGTCTGGAAAGCAGATGGCCTGGGGGACCAAACCACAGCCTACCTATATCCCTAGGGTGTCATCAGGTAAAGAGAGCCAGGCTCTCAAAGTGGTACATGGTGAGAGGACAAGAGGCAACAGGAATACACTGAAATGAGAGGTTCAGTCTAGATTTAAGGACAATCTTTTTCACCGTGAAGCCAGTCAGTCATGAAGCAGATTGCCCAGAGATGTTGTGCAGTCATCCACGGGGAGTTTTCCAGGCCCCAGTCCTGCCCCATCCCTGCACTGGGATAGAGGGTGGTCTTCCTAAGGTCCATTCCACCCTCAATCACTCTCCAACTTTTTGCAACTTGAATTATTCTCCATTACTAAATACTGACATCAAGCCTGTTATTGTTTTACAGAACCGATCTCAGTTTAAACACAGCCCACAGGGCTGCAGGATTTGGCAGCTGAAGGTTTATGAAGAGTCTTAAGAAATTCCAACTAGATGAGCATTCAGACCTTTGGGCAGTAAGTCTGTATACATACTAACTAACTTTTCTTTCAATAGGACTCTTTATAGTTATGTGCAAGAGTAAATTTGTAGAGGATTGCACCTTGAGCGAGAAAAATAGAAATTTAAAAAAAAAAAAAATGTAGAGAAAAGGAATGTGCCTCCTTGGCCAAACTGGTGGTAGTACTTACAGTCATATAAAACTGAGGACAGCTCACATATGTAGTATGTAGTGAAGGGGACATATACGAAGCCATCTAATTTGCTTGTATGACTGCACAAAACTATTTTACTTTGACCATACCTTATTCTTCTGATGGATCTTGAACAGAAGCAAATACAGTAAGTAGAAGTTCCCAGCGCTGAAGAGGAGGTTGATAAACCTGAGCATTCCCACAGAGCACACCACGCTCCCGGTCCATCCGAGGAGCCACGCCGCGGGCTTCACTACCCCCACCGAGACGAGGTACAGGCCGGGCAGCGTGGTGATCATGGGGTCCCACTGCACGGCCGAGAGAGAGTGAGAGACAGAGACAGAGAGGGTTACGGAGCAGCTCCCACAAAAGGGGACAGAGACGCGCGATGGTTGGAGCACACCACCCCCACCACGGCCCGCTCTGTCAGCCCGGCTGGTCAGCGGGCTTCTGGCATTATTACACTGAAGGTTTTGAACGCTGTGTGCCCTGGCGCTGCTGCCCCACCAAGGGACAAAAACAGCGTTCGGGCAGCAAGGACGGGCAGGTGAGCGAGTCCCTCCGTTCAGACACCCGGACGCCGATCGGCAGCTACGCTGCTGCTGCAGGGATGCTGTAAGGATGCTGACCTGCAGGAAGCGGCCGTGGCAATAGGCCTGCGCCTGCGGGACGTGGAACACCTCGTCCATGTAGGGCCCGCGCTGGCGGCGGCTGATGGCCGCGAAGAGCAGGCAGGACAGCAGGAAGGCGCCGCTCATGGCCCCGGAGAAGCCGTAGGCCTCGTAGCGCTCCATGCCGCCGCCGCGCCGGCCGGGAAGGCGCCGCTCTTCCGGGGAGGGACGACGGGAGGAGTCGGCGCGTCCAGGCCGCGGCCGCTGCCGGGCGGGAAGGGGCGTGGGGGGTGTGCGAGAGGCCAGCACGCGTGGGGGGTTCCCTGCGGGAAGAGCTGAAACCCCGGTCGGAATGGCTGGGTGTTGGTAGAGCCGTGTGCTCGGCGGGACACGCGGGCGCCTCTCCGTGTCCCCGGGATGGAGCGGACGCACCGGCTGGAGCTGTTCCCTAACTACAGCGTCACGCTGCTTCTCTTCCGACACGTGAAAAATGCCGCGGCTCTACGGAAAAAAGCCATGGAAGGATCCATTGAAGGAGCACTGATAAACCCTGCCATGGTGAGTGAGCCTCTGTGCCGCCCTGTTTGCGTGGAAATCCTCGTGGGAGCTCAGGGAAAAATGATCGGTGCTTGTAGTCGCTGTCACACGACTTTATTTGCGTTACATTTCCTCCACACTCTGCCCAAATGCCCCTTCTTTGATTACATTATTGTGTCCTTTACAATTACAGCGTAATTTTTCGTCTATGTAAAACAAAGAGCCATGGTAAGATTGGCCAAAACAATTAATTTCACATCCTACTAAATCAATGGCCTTGATTAATTTTACATCCTACTTGGTGGAGCTATTTAAGTCTTCCTCGTGTGTAAAATGTAATGCTACTTGCTTCGTGCTGTCAAATGTGTACTATTTGGAGCCTTTTTTCTCATTTAAACCCATAACTAGTTTCAGAATGTAGTCTTTTTTTTTGGTTAGAATTAGGAAAGCAGTAGTTAGGGAAGGGGGAAAAGTAATTGGCAATTTATTGACAGAAGATTCATTAATGTGATACTCTTTTGAGAAGATTTCAGTAACTCTCTCAGATTGAGAGAGTGTAATCTTTATTTTTATGACAAGTATTACCTCATGCAGGAAATAAACACATCGACTTAAGAAGAGCAAGAATGATGAGGAAGATACTGTTTTGTTCACTTCTATGACTGCAGACTTAGGTGATCAAAATTAAGTGCTCAGGATTTCTTTCAGATTTCAAAAGAGTATGTTAAATTTCTGTGTAACTGTTTCTGTTGTATTTTACAGATTGTAGATCCTTTTCAAATTCTTGTGGCAGCCAACAAAGCCATACATCTACAAGAGACAGATAAAATGAAGACCAGAACACTCTATGCAGAAATTATTTTCAATCTTTCACCAAACAACAACGTAAGATTTACTGAATAAATTTCTTTTTTTGCCAGGGCTTACTAAGATCCACACAGCCAAACTGAATATATGTATTCATTTAACAGTTTACCTGCCTAGTAATAGAAGTTACTGTTATTTTAAATAACAGAAATATGCTGTTATTGTTTGTACCTTGTCAGAATTGCATGAGTGTAAAACATTTGTCAATTTATACTCTTGCTGTGTTTGACCCAGTAACTAAAAAGATTGGTTATATGTAGCAAGAAAGTGACTCATAATATTTTGATATTTTTTATCTTTTCTCAGATTTCAGATGCATTTAAAAAGTTTGGCATTTCAGACAGTGACACAGCAGTACTCATTGTTCTACTGGGCAGCTACAAAACTGTAAATCTGGAAGATATAGCATCTCAGGTGGAAGGCCAACAGGTTCCTCTAGATGAACTCCCCCAGCTAACAGACACTGCCAGAGTTAAAAAGGTGTGTAGCCAAAAGAGAAGACTGGTGTAGAGAAAGAGGGTATTTTATTTAATTGTCTGATTTAGTATCAATCGACATAATTAACTTAGGATCTGTATTTCTTTAGCACAACTGGAAACTTGTTTTAAATGGACCTTGATTAGTTATTTCTTAAATTTTTTTAATTTGAAACAAGTTCTAGTTGTCACACCCCAACATCACAAAGTTTAAGTCTTGAAATTATTAAAATTGTCATAAAAATAAATTCCATATGGCTGCCTACCATTCAGGCACTTTTGCTTCCTGTTTTCTCAGCCAAATATGCGTTTATTTAAAAATTTCAGTACTGAACAGTTTCATAATCTTAGGCACATAAATAGCCCCAGTATGGGTGGCTAAAATAAAAACATGCGGATTAGCTGTTAGGAGCTGTCTTAGTGCATGTGTGCTCTTTACAGATTACCATATGCTAGATAGGTATCTTGGAGCATGGTAAAATTCAAGTAACTTAAATCATCTTGGTCATGTGCATCAAAGTAATGATAGGAGACATATGAATAAAATCGGACAAATCATAGCATTTAACATGTGGAGCCAAAAGTGCTTCTCTCATTCAGTTTCTTGATTTCCTTAGTCTCACAGTCACAACAAGATAGGAATTTCTAATGTAAGAATGGGGGAGAGGGGAAAATTTTTTCATGCGTATGTATTTTTAGAAGGTATGTGATCATTTTTTTTCTTCCTTATGCAGCTTTTCTGGTTTTCTTGTTCTTTTTTTTCCTGCAGACATACAAAGTTACTCCGCAAGAAGAAAAAATCAGCACCTTATTGGATAGTGTTGTTTGCAGAATGGCAACAAAAGATGTCTTATGAAAATGTGGAAAGAAATTTTTTTAAAGGAAAAAGGACTTTTTAAGGTGTAAAAACACTTCATTGCAATTCATCTTGCATTTCAGAGAAAGTGGAGTAGTGTGTTCTAAGCTCAGAGAGCAATTCTGCCATGCAAAGCAGAATTTGCTGTTGGCTTTTCTGTCCTTTTTCTTGACAAGAGAAAATTGCCAGTACTCTAAGCTGAACATAAACAGAAGGACTGGAAATCTGTACTTACCTTTCTGTTTCATCAAATGTTTTGCTAGTCCCAGACAGGATTCAAACATTCTAAATAATTTTTATTAACCCTCCCCGGTTTGTTTTTTTGGTACCCCTGATGAATGATACCGTTTTAAGGATACTGCTGCCAGAAAAGGTGTCATTATGGTCCAACTATTGCTGATGGACTAGAAAAAGGAAAGTTTCCATAAAATATCAGCAGCATCTCCCTCCTTGTGCTAACGGTATAGAGCACTTCAGTGTTGGTGTTAAAGGATAATGAGTGGTGCTTTTACTTTACAGCACTGGATTATGCACGGTGATGCTAACTTCCTAGGGCCTAGTTCCAGGTGCAGAATTCACAGCCAAATTTGTGCCATATTCACTTAAAATTGTCAATACAACTTACATAGCATTCTGAAAAGATCATGGAACTTGTTTTGGTTTTTTTTGGAACCGGTGTTAGGAAAGACCATTGAAGGGAAGTAGGAAGACTATTGATTTCCAGTAGTCACCAGGTCCAAGAGCCCTGCGTGAGTATCATTTAATCACACACAGGCATCCTGTTTAAGTAAAACTGCTGTCCTAGTTAGGTAGAAATCCATGCTGTTTGTTATTGTTATACTGTATTGTTTTTGTGGGACATGCTAAAACTGTATAGTTGTCTGCATTTTTTTTCCTAATGTTCTTTGAGGTATTATGATATGTGTACTTACAAGATATTTGGAAGAGTATACCCCACATTCTTACACATAGTGTTTGGGATAACAAGATACATTTCAACAGAGAGATAAGTCTGAGTTAGAATTGAAATGTTGTCCAATACAGTAAACAGACCAGTGAACTGACATGTTGACCTACTTTTGTCATGTTTCCGTATTTAATATGGAAATCCCTAGCTTCTGTTTTGCATTTTGATTTTGATTAAGTCTTCTCTCAAGTTAAACCCAGGAGTACAAATACCATCTTTTTCTTACCAACCAGACCAATGGCAAATTTAGTTACCAAGTACCAAGGGAATTCCAGGATTTATCGAAAGAAAGGGTTCCAGAGAAACGGCTGTGCTGACTTCCTGCTTTAAAGATGGTTTTGCAGAATGCATCATCATCTCTAAAGGGAAATGTGAGGCAGTAGTGAAAAATGGAGCTTGGAAGGGCTTGCGTCTTTTAAAAAAAATGTGTGTAACATCAGCATGTGAGAATGACCATGGAAAATAAAAGACTTGTTTTCCTTTTCTGACAGTCCAGTTGGTACATGGAATATATCATAACATTTACTGGCTGAACTAAAATGTTTTTGGTAGCTTAAAATAACAGCTGACAGGTTTGCTTAAACCACGGCCTTTTTTGAACATGTGTAAAACATCCGTCCAGTCTCTTTAATAGAGGAGAAATAGTAATAAAATGATCACTGTGTAAAAGTTTTGACACAAAAGTTGTATAGTTGGGGTTACAGGTTCTACTTCTTGTTAGTCTATTTCATTGGTGTAGAAACATGAAATAGTTTGTTAGTGTTGACATAAGAGACCCAAATGAGGTATTTTCATGGGTGGATTTGCAGGAAATTATTTTGGGACTTGAAGCCTCCGAAGTAGCACTCAGGCAGATGATTTGGGTCTGTTAGCAATGAAGACTATGCCCTGCAGGACCACAGGTTTCCCTTAGTCCTAGTTGCATTATCCAAGTTAAACAGTTATTTACAAAACTGGTAATAAACGTAGATTTCGTTCACCCTGCAAAGTTACTCTTGTCCTTCTGAACACATTAAAAATTAGTAAATCTGAATGTCTAATGTTACTGTTAAATCAACCAAGGCTGTTTTCCAGCAAAGCACAAGTTTAAGAAAAAAAGATAGGTTTTTCAAAACATTTAATGTTCGGCTGCTGCCTCCTCTGAAGCTTCATTCCTGATCTCCACTGTCACAAGGTGAAAGAGGAAGCTGAAGGTATTCGCAATACCTTATCTGGATCTCCAGGGCTTCAAAGGTAGGATTATACCTGCAGGATTTATAAATGTAACAAATCCAAAATTATGATGTGTGGTCAGTTGTTCTGGCTTTTCTTTTTTTCTAGGTGGGGTGGTTTTTGGAATTTGGGGGGTTTTTGCCTGTGCTGCCTTTTCAATATTGCATATATGACAAAAGCTGAGAAAAACAGTAGTCTGTACTTCAATGCCTAAAACCTTGTGCACCACAAAATTCACTTTCCTGCTTGAATGCTTTACACTACATGAATTTCTTGTAGGAGGGAGGCTGAAGAGAAAGAGGAGACAAGGCAAACAAGAAACAGAGTGTACAACACCATCCTTTACAAGGACTTTGGAATATGCAGTAAAGCCAGCAGACTGTTGCTGTTTGAGTTAAAAGCTTTCAGCCCAGGTGTATCTGACAGATGTCCAACTGCTGGCCTGTCCATCAGAGAGCAGGTATACCCCAGGCATAAGGCAGGAATGCAGACATACACTCAAGGAAAACCTTCCTGCCTGTCATGATGGAGATAGTTATCCTACCATGGAGCAGGGTGTCCAATAGCACACCAGGATTTTCAAGCAGACTTCACTTGCAGGCCAGAGCATGTGTGTGGGATCACGTGTGTGCCTGTCTCATGGTTGGGTGAGTGTATGTTTTGGCACATGGCAAATCTCACAGTGATGTGAAAGAAGTCAGAGGTTCTGCAAGGAGAGAGACAAGCAGAGGGGTGGCTGACTCACGTCAGGATGACTCCCGAGTGTTCTGTAGCCACATCTGCATGGCAGCACAAGCAGTGCAGATTCACCAGTGTGGAAGCTCGATGTGTGAACTGCAGCCTGTACATCTCAGACTCTGCATGATACCAGTAAAACCTGTATTTCTAAAAACAACGTATGTTAGAACAAACAGCCAATCTGATTTAGAAAATCATGAGCGAAGGAAAAATGCATGCCGGCTGTCAGTGACCAGTTCCAGGAGCAAATTCGTCTCACCGTTAAGTGTGCCACCCTCCCCAGCTCTGTTCACTGGCTTCTTCTCTTCTGTCTTCATGAGATGCTTTACCTGTCTGGTCTTACTTTCAAAGTTCTTCACAGTTATATTAGTCTCCTGTAGCCAAAGTTTACCTCCTGTGTTGAGTTTTCAGAGCAGCAGCTTCAGGCCTCCTTCAGTCAGGGAAACCTCTCAATCATTTTCAGTACTGCTCGTTGACCCATTGTCAAAACTTCCTTTCTCCTGCAAAAGCTTAATGATGGTGAGCTTCCAGCATGCTGAGGCCCATCACACTATCCTGATCACCTGGGGATTCTCATCCTGCTGTTAGAATGCCTAAGTATTCTCATGTATTTAAACATTCTCACCTATGTAAAAGGTACTTTTACAAGGGAAAGATCATCCTTTTGCTTTGACTTGTAATGTTAGTTCATGCTATACAGTTTACAACTGGGCTCCTGTGTTCTATGACTATTTAATGTACTACTCATCTATTTTTTTAATTATTCCTTTGTGTGCTGTTCTTCAAGGAGCATCATCAAAGCATTGCTCCCACACCCACCTGCTGAGAGCTGCCATGGGTGTCTCTGGTGCTACACTGTGCTTTGAAACACTCCTAGAGCTATGCCGTGGACGTCTTCTCAGAGGCATTTCAGTTTACGTACCCCTCCTGATTATGGGTGGATATCAGAATGGGGTACATGATACTTTAGAATTGTATTGTCTACAGGTACTACGTAATTACAGATGTGTATTTATGTAAGTATTCAAAATGTCTTACAGGGTTTATTTTGGGGGGGGATACTTTTTATTAGTTTAGGCAGTGCTAAAATTTGGGGTTTAAACTGAGTTTAAGCTCCCAAGGCTTGAACTGTTGTCCCCAGCAGTCATTGCCCCTCAGAACTGCATGTCCATTAACTTGTGATCATCTGGAGTAGACAACCATACAACTAATAGAGTTTAACGGAGACTGCCAACAGGCTGTATTTCCAGAAAGCTTGCAGGTTGTCTGAGTGGGATTACTTCCTCTTCCCTGAAAAAGTAGGACTATGGAATACCTCCCATCAAGAATAGGCTGGTGTATGTAGAGGCTGGTGTATGTAGAGGCTGGTGCTGCCATGAGATGTTAATGAATTATGGAAAAGGAGGCAGTGGTTGCAGATGAATCAAATATATACAAGACTGAAGACTGAGCCATCTGGTTCTGCGACAAAGGATGATTACAAATACAGCTTATTTCATGGTTTTATTCCTGAGTTTACAAAGTCATTACCATAAATTAAAAATATGTGGATACAAGTCCTGTATAAACTCTCTTCAGCAACGTAGATGAATTTCATGTGTTCAGAGATCTTTCTTTGCCTGCAGTATAGCCGGTTTTATTGATTTTTTTTTCTTACGTTGTCGTGATGTGGCAGATTATTTCCCTGCATGTAATGTATGATTTACCATGGATTGGGACAGGCAATCTTAGCAGAGGTAGAGGCTCCGCAGTTTAAGTTCAAAAATGGAAAGCTAGGGTGGACATACAAAAAGTTGACCAATAAAACAGAACTTAAACTCTTCTTTCTAGAATATTGTGCTTAAAGTTTCATATACATGCTGAGGGTAATATATACATGTACAGGCCAAACAGGTATCAGTCATTCACAAATCATGGTGTGTGCATGGCCTGTTAAATTTCTTCACAAATTCACTTCCACAAGTAGCAGCCATTTAAGCAGTTTCAAGTAAATAGAAATATGTGGAGACGATTTTTTGTACGTCTTGGGTATGGGTAATCAACACAATTACATATTTAAATACTTGACAAAGAAAGCTGCTAAATTGCTGCTATAAGGATGAATCCTTTCTTGACCAGGCTCCCCAAAGTGCCAGTAGAAGGATCATGATGATGACTGTGTAAAGGGTATGGACTGTAACAAGATCATCTTCTTGCTGGTGCTTGAACCCAGAGATGCTGTGCCAGTTCTCATTCCTGTTTCCATTGGTTTTCTGTCTGTGAGCACGGAGAGAATGTATCCTGATATAAAAGAAAGCAAGATAGAGATTAAAAATTATTCTTTTCCATTAACAGTTCAACAGTGTTTGTAATGAAATCCAGAGTGTGCATTGTATTGTTGACTAGATTTGGGAAAGAGCTCTTCAAACTGTATGGGGCTAATAAAATAATTTCCATAATTGGAAATTACAAAACATTTACCAGCCATTTGGTATTTCTCTCCCACTGACAGGCAGAGACTGGGTAGGGGCTTGTTAGAGGACACAGTGCTCTTACTCTTCTCTCTTGATACAGATCATTGTATGAGAAAAAACATACCCTTTCATTTTGCAATATTATGAAAGTGGCAGGATTCAAATAAAAAATTACCAGTTTCCAAAGCTTTCACCCATGGGAATAAGCACAGCATGTGCTATGTGAGCTTTCCATCCTGCTCTGACATGTTCTTCTATCTCCGCTTTTCAGAGAGGACTTCTCTCTGCAGTCTGTGTCAAGATATTTATTAGCTAAAGATACCAGTCAGGAGTAACTACACAAAGCATATCCGCAGGATTCTCTGGAGTAACACTTGACATTGCTTTGCCACCTTTCCCAAATTATTTGAAACTAGAAGTGTTAGCCTGTGACAACAGACCTCCAGTTATTGTTATCTCTGCTGAAAATTGCCTGTTAAACCCCAGTGCTAAGTCCTTGTTCTTGATGCCTTTTTTTTTTTTTTTAAGAGAAAAAAAGGCTTAATATTCACAATTTCATCTGAATTGGAATGCCAAAAGGAGATGAATTAGTTTGTGATCATGTAGCTTAGGAAGGGGTCTGAGAAGTATTAGATGTATTACAGCTTCAGTTCATAGATGTTTCTGCTGTTATTACTGCAGAAGAGTAGGGGCTACCACAAATGTTAGTGCAGATACAGTTTATGAGTAAAAAAAGAACTTAAACCAAGAAATGACTTACTTATGCACACTTGGAAGAGAGCTGTCAAAGCTGATTTGTTAAAAATTAAAGACTAGGAAATGCAATTTGCAAAAGGGAATTCATCAATAAAACACAAGTTCTGCAGTTAAGATTTTACATAAAGTAATTGCAGAATTAGAAATAGACATTTAACATTTGTATCAGCACAATTTGTCCTGTAAAGCTGCAAATCAAATACCACAGGTCACGATCATCTGGAGCATCACGTGAAGACCATGAGAGGAATATTTTGCCAGTAGTTTGCTTTTCTATTCCTATCTGAGGGGAATGCAGTATGTGCAGCTTACCTCCTGCAGGCATTCATGGTGCCTTGATGACTGGGTTCCCACTGCGTCAGATTTCTTCTTGCAGAGAGAAAAAAAGCCTTTTTTATCCTCTTGTTCCCTTGCACAAAAGGGGAAAATTTTCACTCGGTACAGACAAAAAGAATCTTCCTTCCAAGCCCGCAAATTTGACCAACAATAATCTGGAAGCACTTGTTATGTGTCAATGAAAGCTCTCAAATGGTTTCTAGAGCTGATTTTGACATAGTTCTTCAAGAAATTCTCTTGAGCAGTTCACAAGGCAAGTAATGAGTCATCCCAGTGACTGGCTTCTTTTAGCTGCTGGGATCTCTTCTTATAAACAGTAGCTCACTGCTGAGATGTTGCCAAATTCATAACACCACAAGTAAGGCACAGATGGAGGGTGCTGCCACTGAAAATTATTTTCTATTAGATCACAGGCTGTTTTGGGGTAAAACTTACTTCCTTTCTACAACTGCAATTTGGTTTAACTTGGCTGAAATGAAATTTCAATCCCTTGTCACTTACATGTGCTCTAATATTCAAACATTTTTACAAATAAGTAGGTGCCTTCTTTATAAACTGTTGACGTATAACACGATCACATTCAATAAGCAGTCAATCAGCAATATATTAGCACATAAGAAAACATTTTGACATTTAGGGTAATTGTCATGGCTAGGCTTCGCGAATGAAGATTTGAGAAGGGCTCTACTCACGCTTGCTACAAGCGCACTGATGGCTAAAAAGGCCAATGCGAGATAGAAGGGTAATTAACAGTTATATATATATATTTTATATATATCCCCCGGTGGTCCAGGGGAAAATACACTGCACTGTCACTGCAGAGACCCGGGTTCGATTCCCGGTCGGGGCCCCTCCCCGGGCAGATGGAGCTCGTTAGCCCTGTAAGGCAATCCATCTACGTCCTGAGGACCTCGCTGCCACTGTCCAAGCGTGCTTGGCCCCGGCAGATGAACCTCAGGATTAAAGG